GCCTGCCTCTCCACCGCCTCCCCCATCCTCCTGCCCTGTACACCTCCCCACCGCCTCCCCCATCCTCCTGCCCTGTCTGCCTCCCTCATGGGGCCTGTCCCCCCATCCTCCTGCCCTGTCTGCCCCCTCACCGCCTCCCCTATGGGGCCCATCCCCCATCCTCTTGCCTTGCCTGCCTCTCCACCACCTTCCCCATGGGGCCCATCCCCCCTGCCACCCTGCCCTGCCTGTCTCCTCCATGGGGCCCATCCCCTCCCCTCCCCAGTCCTGCCTTGCCCTGCCCACCTCCCTGCCAGCCCAGTGCCCACCAGCCCCAGCCCATGTGCCCCTGCCAGGGCAGGCCCCAGCGCAGCACCCCTGGGCGACCCCTCTTACCTCCGTGAGTGCGTGCAGCTGCCCCTGGTGCACACAGACCCCCATGAACCTGAGACACAGAGGGGAGCGGGTTAGACCAGCAGCACCGGGGACCTGCCCCCTGGATAGGCCAGATCCCCCCGCGGAAAAGAGAGAGAATCCAGGTGGAGAAGGGACCGGCACCCATGCCAATCCGGGGGAGGGAGCTCACCCCCCAGCCGGACCAGCTTCCCCATGCCCTGGGCAGAGGCACACGGGCAGAGCCGGGCCGGGCTGGGCCAGGAGGGGCCCCGCTCGGCTGGGAGCAGGGATCGCAGAAGCCGGCTGCCCCGCTCCGCGGAGGAGGACAGGGGCCGCCCGGTGACAGGGGCGTCGGGGGGGTCACTGCGGGCCCCTCACCGGAGGATGTTGGGGTGCGAGAGGCGGTTCATGAGCTGCACCTCCCGCAGCATGTTCCCCCGGTTACTCATCAGCTTGTTCATCTTCAGCACCATGATCTGGCCGGACTGGCGGTGCCGCACCTGGGGAGCAGAGAACAAGGAGTAATGGTCTCACGTTGCAGTGGGGGAGGTCTAGGCTGGATAGTAGGAAACACTATTTCACTAGGAGGGTGGTGAAGCACTGGAATGGGTTCCCTAGGGAGGTGGTGGAGTCTCCTTCTGTCACGGAGTGTGGGGGGACACACGGCCCTGCACCCCCGGCTTCCTGCGATTCACCATGACTCTCAGCCAGCCAGTAAAGCAGAAGGTTTATTTAGACGACAGGAATACAGTCCAAGACAGGTCTTGCAGGCACAGACAACAGGACCCCCTCAGTTAGGTCCATCTTGGGGTCCCCGGGCGCCCCAGCCCCCTTGGGGGGGTCAGAGCCCCGTCTGGGCTCCCTCCATTACACCAGCCAGCTCCTGACCAACCTCAACTCCCTCCAGCGTCTCTCACCCCTCCTCCCCTGGCTCCTCTCACAGCCTTTGTCCAGTTTCCCGGGCAGAGGTGTCACCTGGCCCCAGCCCCCTCCTGGGTTCTCATGTTACATGCTCAGGTGTCTTCCCCCAAGGCCAGTCTCCCATCCCCCAATGCAGACCGTCCCAGCCGAACTCCCCTGCAACCTTCCCCGGCCAACTCCCCACTCAGCATTCAAAGACCATAGTAAGAACAGTCCCAGTTCATCACACCTTCCTTAGAGGTTTTTAAGGCCCGGCTTGACAAAGCCCTGGCTGGGATGATTTAGTTGGGGATTGGTCCTGCTTTGAGCAGGGGGTTGGACTAGATACCTCCTGAGGTCCCTTCCAACCCTGATATTCTATGATCGTAAGGAAGGGACCCGGCATGGCCTAGCGGGCAGAGCACAAGACTGAGAGCCAGGACCCCGAGTGCTGAGATGGACCTGCTGGGTCCCACCCTGCCAGGGGCCTCAGTTTCCCCATGTGAAGAGGAGAGGAAGGGCTGCAGGCACACTGCGGATGGCCGGCTCTGGGCACGTCAGCGCCGTTGTATTAACAAGGCCCCTGAGCAGAGGGTGAACGGCCCCTGGCGCCCGGCAAGGCCCCTGGGGGCTAGGGAAGGAGCCGGGAGCTCAGCACTCGGCCACTGACCAGAACCACTGTCCCAAAGCGCAGCGTCGGCCCCGACGGAGCCGGGAGCCCTGCCTGGGGGAGCAGCAGGGTGCAGGGACTCGGCGCCCAGCCCTGCCAGCCGCAGCAGTGCGGTATATTTAGCCTGCTCCGAGCGGAGTTCACCACGTGATCCACATTACTGGGGCTGCTCCAGGGAATGCCAGAGGGGAGGTGGCTGCCGGGGTCCGTCCTCCCCGCACACACGGAGCCCCCGTCTCTCGCACACAGACCCCGCTGCACGCACACACGGTTGGCACATGAACACACATGGATCCCGCCGCACACACACACGGCTGGCACACAAACACACACGGATCCCACCGCACACACACACGGCTGGCACATGCATGCACATGGAGCCGCCATCTCTCGCACACAGACCCCGCCGTGCACACACACGGCTGGCACACAAACACACACGGATCCCGCTGCACACACAAATGGCTGGCACACGAACACACACGGATCCCGCCGCACACACACACGGCTGGCACACGCATGCAAATGGAGCCGCCATCTCTCACACACAGACCCCGCTGCACGCACACACGGCTGGCACACGAACACACATGGATCCCGCCACATGCACACACGGCTGGCACACGAACACACACGGATCCCACTGCACACACACACACCACGGCTGGCACACGCATGCACACGGAGCCGCCATCTCTCGCACACAGACCTCGCCGCGCGCACACACGGCTGGCACACGAACACACACGGATCCCGCCGTACGCACACACGGCTGGCACACGAACACACACGGATCCTGCTGCACACACACACGGCTGGCACACACATGCACACGGAGCCGCCATCTCTTGCACACAGACCTCGCCGCGCGCACACACGGCTGGCAAACACACACACACACACACGGGGCCCCCGTCTCTCACACACAGACCCCGCCGCACGCACACATGGCTGGCACACGCATGCACACAGAACCCCCATCTCTCGCACAGAGACCTCGCCCCATGCACACACACGGAACCCACCACATGCACACATGGCTGGCACATGCACGCACACGGAGCCCCCACCACCATGCACACACAGCTGACACACACATGCACATGGAGCCCCCAGTGCCATGCACACGGAACCCCTGTCTCTCGCACACAGACCCTGCCGCATGCACACACAGCTGACACACGCACACGGAACCCCCACCGCCACACACACACGGATCACACATGCACACACAGACCCCCACTGCCCCACAAACACAGCTGACACACGCACACGGAACCCCCACTGCCACACACACACAGATCACACATGCACACACAGACCCCCACTGCCACACAAACACAGCTGACACACACATGCACACGGAGTCCCCACCTGCCACACACACACGACTGACACACACACATGCACAGAGCCCCTCCGCCACACAGGCTCAGACTCTGCCCCGGGGGTTCCAATTCCCTGGGGGGTCCCTGGGCTCGT